GATATAGAGCAACTCATAATGACTAATGATAAATTGCTCATCATATTTTTCATACTCCTTGTAAATGTAGAGAACTAAAATTTTTATCGTATATATATATCAGAGTTGTCCATGACGGTAGCGGTAGAATTTGAAATAACCAAAGAGGTAGGGGTGAGGCAACGGTAGGTTTTTAAAAAGGCCATAGCGTTAGCGGCCACTTATGTTTTTTATCGTCACGATACGGTGCGGCAGTAGTTGACGTTTTGACAAAAATTGTTAATTTCTTCCTGTGATTATCTATAACAGTTTAGATTATAGTTTCATTATGATTCAAATTAGAATGGATTTTTTGCCTCAATCAAGAGATTTCAATTCTTCTTTCATCGTGTGAGAGAAAGTACAAGTGCCAGCATAGTATGATTATATGGTGATCTTATTTGAGAGCATGCCCATAAAGTTTCTGAAATACTTATTTTATAGTATTATGATTGTTATACCTATCAATTGGTCATATTTTATTGTAATATCATAATTTTCATTGGGCAAGCATTTCTCACTAATGAACACTTACTTATTATTAACTTTTGGTCAAGTGAATTGGCATCTTCAGAATTTCCTTTTTTGAAATATCTTCGCTGAAAAATTTTTCAATACCTGCTACATCTTTAAAAGCCAAAAGAGCTTTTAGTTAAAATGGGATTGTATTAAACAATAGACGATAGAAACTATTACCTGATCAAGTATTTAGTATGTCGGTTATCAGAAAAACTCGATAAATCTTAGGAAATACAAAATAAATTTATCCAACGTGCAAATGAGTACTTTTTTTGTGCAAGAGTTTTATATGCAATTAGTTTTTAAAAATATGAAATATACTAAATAGTTGAATAGATTCTTCGGAGTCTTTTTGGTTACAGATACGTAACCCGGTTTTATATCTATCATAGGCAAAGTATTTTCTTGGAACTCATACATATCGAAGTAATAAATCGTAGTATTCTAGATCATAATATCGCATTCTATATCATTTTGCTCCTTTGGCACTATATAATCTCATACTGAGTCTAAGTTTCCATAATTTCTTGCTCTTTCTTCTACAAAGTATCCTTTGTGCGAATGGAAAATGAATATCTTATTTGATCTGTACCATTTTTTCTATGTAATTAAAAATCTTGTGATTTCAAACGGTTTTGATTATTCTATGTGTGCTTATTATTCAGCTGAGGTTTTAATGAATTCGTAATTTTAAGCGGTTTCGTCATCTATGCATTGTATAATACAAACGCATGTTTTTATATTACAGGACAGCAGACAATGAACACAAATATTCCCGAGTACTTTCTTAATTTCGTCGTAGCATTCTTTCATGTTTCCACAGATACAGAATCATAGGCAAGGGGGAAAAGACGATTTGTGATTTAGTGATTTAAAATGATTTAATGTTGATTTTTAGATGATATATATCAGCCTTTTCCCCCTTGACCATAGGAATTTCCGCCCGTAACGTTGGCAGCTACAAATCAGCGCACTTATCTTTTTGATAAAGATGCTCCATAGAGAAAATTAGAAAGTACCTTAAACAATCGCCCGATCTTATAAAACGATAGTTCACATGTTAAGTATTTTTTGTTCTCTGCCAAAAGAACATTTTAATCTAAGAACGAAGTGCACTGTACTTTAGATGCTGTCGTTTCGCGAAAAAGAAATCCTATCATTCTATGTCTGACAAAGCATGAAATAATCCTAATGCAAAAATAAGCACTGTTAGAATCAAAATAGCTTGTAACCATTTCAACTCAACGGGTTGAATCGATTCATAACTGATTCACCCAGTTTTAATCCCAACAGTGAAAAAAAAATAAAGTACCTGCGTTTAGTGTCTGGAAGACAGAATGTTCTAAAGACTATCTTATTCATAACGTTGTGGCAGCAGCAGATTTTCAGCCACGAAGGGCATCTCTGATATATATATCTAATCAAGGTCTTTTATTTCTGAAATTTTTAGCTTTCGGACAAAAACTAATCGTGAAATACATTATCAATACTGAAATATATGAAGCTTCATGCTTGAATTTTGCATGTTTTTACTGTTAAATTATTGGAAAAATCCAATGTAAACTTAATGCATTTAACCATATGTTTTAGTTAGAAAGCTGAAAATTCCAGAAATAAAGTACATTGATTAAACGTGCCTACAATAAAAATTTAATTTCTCTACATCAATAAAAAGTATGAAAATTATCATGAAAAATTTATCATCAGTTATTCTAAGCAGCCCTTTATTAGTATGAAGTGTTCCTAAAAGATAATGTGGTTCTCCACACTCTATATGTCTACAAATGTTTTAATTGCTGTCTCAGACCGTCTTCGACTATGATATATATATCTAACTAGGCTATTCACAATGAAAAGAAACTTTTCTTTCAGAACATGCATATCGAATACCCTTATTTCACAAAGTGGTAGAAACCCCACAAATTTATTCTCGTGGCTAACTTAGAACGTATTTCTTATTTCCAGCACTAAGACGTTAAATAAAATTACGTACAACTATATTTACATCTTCATATTTGATACCTCGTTTCTTTACGTTATCTACAATATGCACAATCATAATCTGCATTTTAGAAATGTT